ATAGATAGATAGATAGATAGATAGATAGATAGATAGATAGATAGATAATGGACAGATGGCGATAGATAGATAAATAGATAGATGATAGATAAATAGATAGATAGATAGATAGATAGATAGATAGATAGATAGATAGATAGATAGAGATAGATAGATAGATAGATAGATAGATAGATAGATAGATAGATAGATGATAGATAGATAGACAGACCCTAACATATAAATACACATAAATGTTAATCACTCTCCACCTTGAATACATAGCAGAAGGAGGAAACTTGAGAGTTCACAAAGTTGATGCTACATGGAATAAAACGGTGATTGAATCTGGAGGCTCTTTGGGTACCCCAAAGCCCCCTCCCAAAGGAAAGAAGGAAACCAGGACGTGAAGGGGAGATGCAGCGTCCCAGACAATCCTGAAGACCCAGATCAAGCATCGCTTCTGGTGTCCAGCCCAGAGCTGACCCCGAAGGAACCGGCTGGGCTTTGGGGGGAAGGAAGTGGGCAGCGGGGATGCAGCTCCAGCTGGCAAGGTCTCATCCCGGATGCACGGAGAGGCTTCGGCGCTAAAAGGCCCAGAGATGGGATCTTGCTTGCTCTGGGGGTCCAACTCCAGGAGAATCTCTCATCCTTGGAATCTTCTATTCTGCAGAAAAACCCAGGGTGTGTATGTATCGGGACTTTTTTCCCCTTCATTAAATCAGAGGTGGGCATGGCCAGGATGTGACGCATCCAGCCCGTGGACTGTGATTTTCATAGGTCTGCTCTAGACGAGCCAAACCCAATTCCTGCAACACTTTTGCATTTCCTACTTTAACCTTCTCTTGAACCAAATACACATAAAAACCCCTTGGTCAACTCTACTGTTCCCGTCAAGATCACCCAGTGCCCATTTATGAGCAGATCCAGCCCACTAATTTCATTAGGGACACCACGGCAGCTGAGTTCAAATTCAACAGAATTTATACAATCGCTGGTACTTAGACACAGCCTCCTGTTTTTATATAAATAAAGTTTAATTGTTATTTAAGACAAACATAGACAAACAAAACATAAAAACATCAAGCCATCTTCCATATATATACATACAGTGTGTCGATTGGTTTACAAATGGTTTTGTGCTTCCACTTCGTAGTCTTCAATTACAATTACATTGTATATATTCTCATATTGTCAATCAAA